GTGTGCTGTTTTGACCATGCTGTTTTGTCGCGTGTTGTTTTGTCGTGTGCTCTTCTGTAGGTCCTATATTCTTGTCTGTGTATCTGTAATATAGGGATTCTTTATGAATGCGACGAAGGCTAGCTGCAATGATCAAAAAATGATCGTTGTGGATAATGCTTACGCGTTTTGATAATACAAATATCGAATAAAATAAAATCAAATGAATATTCGTATACACATTATTGAGAAAGTCCGGAAACAAAACTCCAGTTTGTTGCCTCGAAGGGTTCCTGTCCTCTGCACGAATATTGTCAGGTTGTGTGCATAAAAAAAAAGCTACGTTGAGTGTTTTTTTTTTCCGTAAACATTCCTCATGACTGGGTTACTGCTATTCGAATGCAGCCTAATATTGAAAGACAAGTCACATAAAATAGCAACACTCGACGTGTTTTATTCTTTTTTTCAGCAAAAGTAATTTTCCACTTTTAGGAAACACGCTAAAGTCGCCATTCGAGGCAGTGTAATGCTGCAAAAACTATTCCTGGTTACTGCTATTCTAAGGCAGCCTAATGTTCAAAATCGCATGAAATAGCGTCCGACGCGCCCTGTTTTTTTTAGCAAAATCGATTTGTCGCCTTGAATAAATACGCTCAAGTCAACATTGAGGTATTGCTCTGCGTAATACCGCAAAAGACGATTCCCGGATCTCATAGGGCGTCGATCAATTGTTATGAAGATTAGCCACTTTAGATAAGAAAGCTGCAGTGTAACTAGATTGTGTTATACTCCTATCTAGTCCTAAAGTGATTATTTTTCATTGTCGGTGCGCTATCTAGTCAAGCTCGGAAAGACCTGGGTCGCTCCACTCCAAATTATATTTTTGTAACAATATTTTTTTGCTTTTTACGGAACTCTCGGGATCCGTGTTGTTGTTGGAGCCTAGTGACTATGCATATATAACGTTCTTGCATAACAATAAATGCCAAAGTCTAAAAAAAAAAAAGCGGAGTCTTGCGAAAAGCGCAGCCATCTACTGCGTCATGCCGTCAGCATAAACAAACATGGCGGCGCCCATAGAAGAGAGCCTGTAACGCGCGGTTGAGATGAACCTTCAAGCTGAGTTTCGAACGTTATTGCCCGCCCTCCCAATTTTAGGTCTCTTCCGCCGAGTTTGTTTCTAGTTTCCACTTCAGTCTCAGGTTTTACAATCATAATGAACCTACACCACGACTGCACTTCGAACATTTTTGTGTTCTGCTAAGTCAGTTTTGTAACAACGGGGCTTCGTCGTCTTTTTAGGTATCACCGGCTCAACCAACCACGCGGAGAAACAGGCATACTTGTGGCGAATTCATTGTGCGCGATCGAGGTGACAGCGAACGCCCAAAGGCGCCCCGCGACGATCACCTTTTGGCGCGCTCCGTCGCAGCGGCGGTTGCGGTCTAACTAGGTGTCAGATGGTGTATTCTGAAGGCCGCTCAAAAGTCAGAAAACTCGGTTTGTGTGGTACGTTACGCGTGTAACTTTCGTATAAAAGCAATCGAACTGTTCTGCATTCTTTTATCTTCATGTCATGACCCTTTTAAGGGTCGTTTTCAGCCGTCAAAACGGTTACAACATGCCCGTTTTGCCAAGTTGGTTGCCTCATATTGTCAAATCACCACTTTTGTTTGTCCGCATGTCGAATCTCTTTCGCAAAACAACACTAAACGCCAAATGCGGATCACCGTGATGCCAAATAAACAAGAGTATACATTTAAATATAATTATATTGTGTTTAACCGCCTAACGCAAGAATGTGAACCCTTTCACAAGTCTAAATATCTTGCAACGGACCTTCTCGAATACATCCAGCGACATTGTAGGCCACCATATTTTAGGAATAGACCCCTTTCGAAGTAGAGCGCCACCTGTTGCACGCAACTGCAACTAGGTCCGCCGCCATCACGCAGGGGTCCCGCCAGAACCGCCTGCATCTTACCGCCTACAACGGTGCTGCTTACACTTTGAGTCCCAGTCTGCGCGCGCCGCATCAATATGCCATCGCATGGCTGCGCACCTTTGTGTACGCACGATGGATACGTTGACGGAGACGGAAAAAAGGTACGTGTCAGACAAGTTCTAAAGTGTTCAAAGAGAAAAACCGAGTCCTCGTGTTGTTTACAAAACTTTCGCGGGTTAGACAAGAAAACGCTTTTATCATCCGTAAGCGGAAGCATCGCAAACGATTATATGTTGTAGTAGTGTGGCCGTGTGTCGAGCCCCGTCTTTAACTAGAAAGGTACGGCCGCGGTTCAGTGCGCGGCTCGCATGCGCGAGCGGCTCCCTCCTTCAGTGCTTCTTCACTGCAACCGAGGCCATTTTAGGTACTTTTTCGGCGTGTAGATGCATGATTACTTCTTCCGGAAGTTCATTTCCTTTACTCACGCCGGTAAAACGTTTTACAGAAAACAGACGTCGGGTGGAGGGGTATACAGACTAAATGCAGTGTACAATCAGCACGAAATGAAACCCGAACGCCGGAACGCGTGGCCGCTGATACAGGCTGCTCCACCTGGAGGGCCACTGAGAACTAATGGAAATGCAACGGGGTTCGAGAGTGCGGGGCCTACTAAGATGAGCTCGACCATCGCGCGGCGCGTCTGGGAGTTCCGCGCTTCGCCGTTGGCGCGCTGTAAGCGCCGTCACATTCGATACAAAAAGCACTGTCACTCGCTTTGTGTATCGGATTCCCAGCGATATCTCTTCAGCGCTGTCATTCATTATCACTTTGTGTATCGCAAGGACGAAATTAAAGTTAAAACATTTCGTGCAAAGAAGACCCGTAGTGCTCGATGACGTGTCACCGGAAACAACGTGCCACGCGCGGTTTCTGAGAAATAGTGAAACGTCATAAACGCGAAATAAATTTCGTTTATTCGCACACCCATATTCTTTATGAAAAAAAAAAATGCTGCAACAGGCCGACGCGGATGCCTCGGTTTTATGAGCAATGCGCATTTTTTCGTGCGAGGTTATCAGTCGATTCTTAAAGAAATCGAGAAATTGCTCGCTGAGGTTCTCTTCGGTAACCACCGATATGCCAGGCGTATCAATTCCGGAGTGGAATAGATTCATTACCCTGTCTGAGCAGGGCCTATCGCAAACAGCTATCGCCTGGTTAGGCGGCCGCCCGGTGTCGACCGGGCGACAGTGCGGCGACAGAAGAGCACCCCGAGTGACGGCGGTTACAGCGCGCCACCGGCGAAAAGCGAAAGTCCCAGACGCCCTGCGCGAGGGTTGAGGAAATCTTAGTAGGACCCGCACCCTCGCACCCAGGTGCATTTTCATTAGTTCTCAGGGGCCCTCCAGGTGGAGCAGCCTGTATCGATGGCCACGCGTTCCGGCGTCCGGGTTTCATTCCGTGCTGATTGTACACCGAATCTGAAGAGCACTCGAACCCGCCTTGCGATCGTGGGAACTTTTGGACTGGTGGCCTAAACAGAGTGCCAAGGACGTACCGCTAGACGTTTAAGGACGTTACGCTAATAATCAGTTAGGAAATTTGTAAGAATGCAGCCAAAGAGTTGGTGTTTAGAGCATGTTCAACAATTGTTATTCTGTTAAACGGTTTTTATTCCTGAACATATTGTATGTTGTTCTTGGGTCTTCCTCTTGCTTCGGTAGCAGGAACCCTTGATGAAGAAACTTTCTGCACTGAATGGGATAAAAAACAAATTATACACCGGTTTTACACTAAAACAGCTGTGCATATTTTCTGTGCAAATAAAGATCAGTTCCAGCACACTTTTTTTTTTTTTTTGCAATGTCGCATTTTGAGTGGGTTCAAACAAACGTGGTACGTCTACAAACGCCGTGAAATAAACCCAATACATCAGTGGTTATGAAAAGTCTACTCTGTAGCTTTGTGAGGAATGCCATAAACCGCTTAACTTCTTAGTCTTTAAAAGGTTACCGAGGAAGGAATTTAAAATGCTGCCTGCCACCCACCCGTACAACCGTTTCTGCTGTTCTGTACGATCTGCGATTTCTTGAACACTCAAGGCTGTGACTCGTGAGGCACATTTTGCAGTTACTGGTACGCGGTCGTAAGTTTATTGGAGGGGTACGAAAAACGAAACGAGCGAGTTCTCGGCTGTCACCGAACGACAAGCTCACGACGGGGGCAGCGTACCGGGTCGTTCGGAGTGGCCACACTAAAAGCTCGATCGCTATGATTAACTGTATTAGAATTATGGAATGTTACTAAAAAAAATCACCACAAAACAAGAAAGAACTTGCCTGTTCCGTGAGTAATAAGCCCTTATCGATGCGGGGACCGCGTATGCTTCGACGAAGAAGTTGTAGCGTCTTTCCATTCACCGGTTTGTGCCTGACCGGCTCCTGTAGAACTGCTCCACCTCTCTGTCACTTATATTTGGCAGTATCGAAAGATCATTAGACCAACAGGTGATCGCGGGAAAACACCCGCACAAGCCATAGCTCAAAACGCTACGGCGGCTACGCTGCACGCCGACCGGTCGAACGAGTCGAACCCTGCGTAATGGCGGCGATCACCCAATGTTGCTAGATGTTTTACTATTCAGGCTAAATTTTTTTTAGTGTTGCCAAAATTCCGAAAGGGGTCTATATAGCGGCCCCTGCTGACACGCTCCTGCTCGAAGCGTGTGATTGGATCCAAGCTCACACCGAGTGCTGAAGCAGCACTCGTGCCCAATTATTGCTCCAAGTACGTAAATGTCGAAAGTATGACGGCCTCGGAAAATCGAAGCCAGCAGCTACTCAAGGAGGCTCACTTTTAAAGAGGGTCTATTAAACAACGAGTGATGCAATCAGATTTCGCAGCGGTTAGATTACTAGGAGACCAAGGTATCTACAATCCAATCTTTATTGAAGTCTTGCTATAGTACAGAATTATACAGCGGCATAGAAACCAAGAACAAAGCCCCAAAATATGTGATCATGCCTTGTTGCTTGTCCTTTTGATTAATGCATCCATTGGTTCAGACGTCCGCTCATTACCAGAGCTTGCCACCGAGACCGCCGAGACCACCAAGACCGCCGAGGCCGCTAAGACCGTGGAGACCTCCGAGACCACCGAGGCCACCCAGACCACCAAGTCCGCCATGGTAGCTCACGAAAGGCTTGGAGACGTGGGACACACTGGCGAAAGGCTGGGCCACGTAGTTGACAACGGGCTTGGCAAGCAGACCGTAGTTGACCACAGGCTGCTTGAGGACGCCGAGGGTGGCCACTGGGTGCGCAGACAGGGCCCCGTAAGCGGTACCGGTCTTCAGGATACCTCCGCCCAGGCCCAGGCCGCCGAGACCGAGACCTCCAAGACCATAACCACCGCCGAGGCCGCCGAGGCCACCGAGGCCCCCAAGGCCGAGACCGTGGAAGCCACCGGCGTATGCGCAGGCAACAAGGGCAGAAAGTACGATGACCTAGAGGATGAAGGAAGGAATCTATAGACCGAGCCAAAGCACCTAGGAGGATTCGTGTCCTAACTGTCGCTCTGATATTCCCATCTGTCACAATAGTCTATTGAGTAGAAACCATGTGGCGATTCTCTCGTGCTCGCACAGCAAATAAAGATTGGGAATTCGCGCCATTTAGAGGATACTCACAAAGGTGTTCATGGCTGAAATCCCGTTGAAAGGCTTCGACAAAGTGTGCTTGTGCCACAGCACACTATTGGGCATTTATAGTAGCAGATTCTGAGATCAACGGGAGGAGCCTACGTTCGAGGTCAAGTCTGTCCAATCGAAGTAGTTTCCCTGTCAGTTCCTCGCATGTCTTTTCCTCAACTCCTCGTATGCGTCTCAGAGAGCGTCATGTTAAGGTAACAGTCACGCAACAATCGAGGAAGTTCAATCGCCTATGAACGGCGGAATGCGGTCATGACACGGCTGCGAATTTCCAGCTGGCCGAGGTGAGGGGAGGCGACAAGCGCAGCATTAAATCGGCGCGACGCAGGAAAGAGGATCGCCATTAAATAAGGAGGTCGTTCGGTCATATTCACCTCCATCGGAATAGAGTCCCCCACATTCTATTTTCTGCTAGACCGAGAGCTGGGGCTCTATAAATTCTATTTAATTTAATAGACCCTGTATGCCGCTGAGTTTGGGAAGTTAATGTCTGCCTTTTTCTCAGTCTCTACGACTGTGCTTTCTTCCTTTTCCACTCCAGTCGAAGCTCAGGTCGCTCTATCACCATCATAAACAGCTCGACTGCAATTTGAATATATTTTTCCTTTGTACTATGTCAGTTTCTAATGGTTTCCTAGTCGTGAGCTGAAGGGTGGAAACACAAAATTTCTCGTGTAAAGGGAGCGTGCTGCTGAAATTACGGTGTTAGAGGAGAATTACATAAATGACGAGGACAGGACTCGTCCTCGTTATTTATGTAATTTTCCTCTAACGCCGTAAAAATATATATATATTATAAGATAAAATATGCCGCTGAAAATTATAGAACTCGATTTTGTGTAGCTCATAGCAACATGCTAATTTTATATAAAAACAATAGAACTTTTGCGTTTTCATGTCATGACCCATTTAACTGCAGCTCTGTTCGGGGTGTGCACATTGGATATCGAAAGTGATTCCACAAGAAAGCTGGTGGCCGAGGCATATAATCCGTAAAATGGCACCACTGCATAGGCAGACATAAAAACGGCCAATTTTGTTGAACATTTTTTATTTATCATATAAACGTTGCAGTTTCAAATCGAAAGCGTCACAGACTACTAGCGCCAAGGGGTTCAGGCACAGCAGTAATATGTAAAAATTCGCTATGAGTGCATTTATATCTTTTAATATTTTTTGGAGATGTTTATATACTACAATATTTATATACTTTTAAACCCCAAAATAATCATTGCAGAGGTGTATTTCATTATTATTAATGTAAGTTTAGTTATAAGAGGATAGTTTTTGCGCTCATTTATAAATTAAAGTGATTTAAAGAAATGTGGCTCAGATGTGTTATGCCTTAAAATATGTGAAACATTGTATGCGAATACATTATTAAATGAAGTTAAAAGGCAACATATTAGAGTCTTAGCATTGCCACAGTTGCTTTGTGGCACTTACGCTCTCCTACAAAAATGTTTGAATGACGACGAGTAAAGGTCCTTTTCTCAAGTTAGAAATACCACAAAACGAAACGAATATTGAGGGGAAATATTTCAGCCCACTGCTTATGAGAGAAGTGGCGACAAATTCGAGTTTTTCGTAAAGTTCTTAAAAGATCGAGCGTTGTGTGGTGTGGCGTAGAACGACTCTGCTACATAATGTGTTTATCTGGCTGAAGTGGAAATAAAATCGTGTAAATTGGTTCCATCACACAGTGGCGACCAGTGCAATATGAAGTGACTTGGCACAGTAAAAGTGATTCCTACAGAGTGCCTAAACTTTTCAACTTGTTTCGCTCGAGGGATATTCTTAAATCAATTGGCAATTCTAGGAGTGATGTGCGATGATGCAAAATTTTCTTATGGCCGACTGCATATAGCTTAAGGAACATGTGCCGAGTATCTTATTAGGCAGCCAACGAGACAGGGAAATAATGAGAACACCGAAACCTCAAGCAAAATGCAGCCCGCGCTTCTTGAGCTGTCAGTATGGCGGCTAGAGACCCTACTGTCAGTCACTGCTTACTGGGAACCCATTAACGTCAAATGTTGTCCCCGACCGCTGGAGACTGGCCCGCCTTCCACTTCGTGATTCCTTCTTCGGCGTCCTTATCGGCTAACGCCTCATTCTCATCGGCGGAAGAGGAGCGAGAGGCTCGCTGCTCGCGTTGCCTTTCATTTCTTCAAGGAATATTGAATCGAAACCTCTCACGTTCAGAAAGAAAGGAAACATGATCAACTCTATTTGCTAAGGTAAATCGGACGCTTGCATTTCAAACGGATGGCTGTATGTTTCCTTCTAAATGTTCGATTTTGGCGAGCACTTCTAAATCAACCATCTCGGGATATCCGTCGGGTCTGGGGATATCCGTCGCGCCCGCAACTTGCCCGCCACGTCATAGGCCTCCCCAGGGTCAAGTGTACCGTAGTTAGTGATGCAAAACTATCGATACTATCGATAGTTTTTCCAAAACTATCAATAGTGTCGCAGAACTATCAATAGTCGACTACCGATAGAGCTACCGATAGTTTTACGATAGTCGACTATCGATAGTGATATCAATAGTTGAGTATCGACAGTGCTATCGATAGTTCTTCGATAGTTGAGTATCGACAGTGCTATCGATAGTTCTTCGATAGTTGACTATCGATAGTTTTCTTTTACTATCGATAGTGAGATTTCTGGCGACTTTCGATATTATCGATAGTACTATTAATTAGGGATGTCGCGAACCGGTCGAGGTTCGAATTTCAACCAGGTTCGAATTTTTTGACCTTTTGTGAAAAGTTCGACAAAGGTTCAACTCAGGTTGGACTGCTATGGGCATGCGCAACTGGCTGGCCAGTTGGCTTCTGATTGGATGGTGATGGCTAAGAGATGAATTAGGGGCAGCACTGATTGGTTATTTCAGTTAATACAGTACAAAAATTAAGTTATTAACTTCTTCAGTGATCAGAATTAGTTTCTTTTAATTGCAATTGTTCATGAAATTAAAACAACTCTTTGCATAAAAAAAAATTCTTCAAACCTAGACATGCTTGTTTCAAGGTCTGGACAGACTGTCCACAAAGTCGAACCGGTCGAATCTGGTTACAAGGTCGGAGGTTCGTCGAACCAGTTCGAATCAGTTGAACTCCGAAAGTTCAACAGAAAAATCCGGTTCGACAAAAGTTCGCGACACCCCTACTACCGATAGTTTTGCACCACTAGCAGCGGGTCCCTTTCTGCCTGCTTGTCTTTAAGGTTCAGCCAGATTCGTAATACTGTTGAAATTTGGGCTAGTTAGTGAAGCATGTTTACGGATAAAAAAGATGTACACAGCGCTCCGTCTCTGCACATCTTCTCTGTACTTTGTCATTCTTCGCGCTGTTTTTACCCGTAAGCAGCCAGATTCAGCGGGCTACCGCATAGTAAATTTAGGTTTGCAACAGTGGGGGACTTTTGTTTTCCTTCTACTAATTGTTCCGTGGTAGAAAGGGCGACGACTCTTACAAAAGGCGTCAGCTAGTGCCGCCGAGGCTGCCGCCGTATGCTTTCGTTCGCGCGCATTTGTAGCAGTATTCACGTGCGGAGCGAACACAGTTGCCGCGCCGCCGCTCGCCTCCCTCCCTCCTCTGGTCGACCAAAACTCTCGTCTTCGTCATCACTGAAAGCTGAACCAAAGTAGGGATGGTAAGTGCTTGGTCTAGTTAGCGTCCCACTTGAAAAAATAAAGCGAGAAAAAGAGAAGAGGGAGCGACGAAAACTACTAGTGTCGCAAAACTATCCATAGTAAACCGTCGGCACTACTATCGATGGTTGACGATAGTCGATTATCGATAGTACTATCGATAGCTTTTCGATAGTCGACTATGGATACTAATATCGATAGTTTTTCTACAGTCGACTATCGATAGTACTATCTATAGTTGTTGGATAGTCGACTATTGATATTACTATCGATAGTTTTTCGATAGTCGATTATCAATGATATTATTGATAGTTTTTCGAAAGTTGACTATCGATACTACTAGCGATAGTGTTTTTAACTATTGATAGTCAGATTTCTGGCGACTATCGATAGTTTTGCATCACTAATCGTAATACTTCGCATAGTCAGTCGCAGATCAGCGGGAGATTGCGCAGCCAGCGGAGCCCTGCGCGCTATAACACCATGACCGGCACCTCTCCGAAAGCAAGCTGTTCCGATGTGCGCTTTTTGGAGAATAAGCTCGGAATAACTCCTGAGTTCAACCGATTGTACCTGTTCGGTCAATTCACACTCTGCAGCACACCGGGGTTCCTCGTCCCGAAAGTGCTCACCACACAATTGATCACCTACCGCAGAAGTCCAAGTGAAAAAGGAGAGTCGCGCGAGACCTGTGTACCGGTGTCTCACATTTCCACGTTTCTTCCCACAGCCGTCTGCAACACAGTGTTTCGGCATCCCGCCGTAGGCTCCTCGAGAAAACCCACCGAAAACTGTTGCGAAGGTATCGATAACATAACAAACGCCCGCGGAACAAGCGGAACGATGGAACCACGAGACTGACGACACCGTGTGGATGTTTCTGTCGAAATGTAGTGTGCATCGTCTGCTCCGCGATATGGCCGATATGGCGACATCGACAACGTCGGTTTGGGGCGCCAGCTCGCTGCTCTTTCATGCGAAAGCATTATATGCACCATTACGCGAAAATCCGGCGGCGTCGGCGGCGTGGCCGAACGATGCATCAAGTATGGCCGACGGCGCAAAGAGTAAAAACACGGATTGACGTCACATTGACGTCACATCGATGCTCGGATTGACGTCCCATTTCTCAGGGAGGTTCCTTTAGACCAAGTAAATTAATGACTTTGAAAATAAAATTTGGTACATTTCGGTCTGGGTGGGAGCCCGGGCCTTCGGAATGCGAGACGAGCACGCTTCCCCGACGCCACGGCGGCTCCACGGTTCTGGCTGACTAAAGCTGCGGCCTAGTGCGTGCGTCATTGGGCACGTGACGGCGCGACCAATAGGGAGGAGGTGGCGCCACGTCATGCATGAGCGCGCTGCCTCCCGCGCGAGCCTATAATGCTTTCGCATT